GACATAATAGTAATAAAATAGTCTTTATTGTATCGTTATTACGAGAGCCGTAAAAATTGTTTAATTATTAATTTAAAAAATTGTATGATTCCAAAATTCTGTTGAAAAAGTTATAAAAGTCTAGAAACTTATAAAACACAAATAAAAAATATTTATTAAAAGAATAAAAACATATTAACATTAAATATTTAAAATAAATACTCTGTTATGTTTACAATGTTATGCTTTCTACACAGTTTGTGTACTGTATACATTTTTGTTTTCATCATATAAATCCTATAAGGTTTAAAAAATTTATACATATTCTTTTGTATATTAAAAAGTGATTCGAAACGTACAGTTCAAGTAGCAAAACCATTTTTTATTATATAGTATATTTATTAGTATTACATTATTACAGGAAAATACCACTTAATTAATAAGAATGGTCGTATAGAAAAAAGTGTCGATGCTCATAAAGGAGCAACTACAGTAGGCAGATGGAGTACCGATGGCTCTGCACTCTTAACGGGTAAGCAAAACGCGCTGAACGAAAGTTAATCTTTCAACTAATGTTTTATCCCATTTCAGCTGGTGAGGATGGTTTAATAAAAGTCTGGTCACGAAGTGGTATGCTTCGCTCTGTCGTAGTCAGAGGTACATTTCCTGTTCTATCTGCTGCTTGGAGTCCAGATTGTACAACAGTTCTATATTCCCAGGGAGCGCATATAATATTTCAGTCTTTAAACTCGAATTCCAAGCCACGGAAGGTTAGACAACATAATGCATGTATATACCATTTAAATAAATGAAGAATAATGTAACATTTACAGAAAACTTTTAGTTACTGGCACATGAAGGACTCATTTTAGTTTTGTGTTGGAGTCACACCAATGGACTCATAATCTCCGGCGGAGAAGATTGCAGGTATAAGGTACGTACCAATAATTATAAAATTAATAATGTTAAATGAAAGATTACTTTGTACAACAAATAAAATCATTGAAGCAGTCAATTTGTTTGCAAAGGTATGGGACTCTAATGGCACACAACTATTCTCTAGTAACATAGGGGATCATCCTATCACATCAGTGAGTTGGAATTACTCAGGGAACCATTTTGCCGTAGGATCGTTTAATACAATCAAACTTTGCGACAAAACCGGGGTTCGTTTATTTTATAATATATTTCATTATAATATATTATTTAAATTTATATTTTATATAAAAATATATTCTTATAAAAAATATTAAATAATCATATATGTATAGCATTTTTTAAGAATGTTCATGTTTCTAGTGGTCTTATTCATTGGAAAAAATTAATTCTGGAAGCATATATTGTATTGCCTGGTCTAGCGATAGTACTCAAGTCGCTATGGCTTGTAGTAATGGAACTGTATTAACTGGACACATAATAGACAGGTACCGACAATTTTAGAACAGCAAATGAATTTTACATGCACACATTCATATAAATGTACCGCAGGAGATTAGAATGGAACAATTACGAAGCTACATTAATGAAAAGAAAAGTGATCGAAGTCAGGCACATTGGTAACGAAATCCGAGAGACATTAGAAATATCGGATCGCGTGGTCCAGTTAGAATTCGGTTTTGATCATTTGGTTGTCATCACGCCAGCTCAATGTCACATTTATTCGGTAGTAAATTGGAATACACCGGCAATATTTGATTTAAAGAGTACCAGTGTATCGGCAGTGCTTCTTGCAGAAAAGTATACAATAATTATATAAATTATTTTGCATTAATTCGAGTGTAACAATAGAAATAATTATCCTGAATGGTATATGAATATTGATTATTTTTAGACAGTTTTTATTAGTGGAATGGAACAGCATATCGTTGTACAGTTATCAAGGACGTTTATTAGGAACACCGAAATGGAAAGGAATGACGCAGGAGCGACTTCATCCTCCTTGCATATCATTATGTTCGGACACTTTAATCATAAGATCGCAGAGTAACGAAAAATGTATAACGAAACAGGAGATCAGAAAATTATTTTATTTCGAGATTGTCACGAAATTTTCCTTTTAGTGCTTCACGTCTTGGAAGTCGCGTACAATAAGCCAATAACAGAAAGTCAACCCTACATGCATCTTCAAAATATCACAAGGGTAGCATTAAATCAGGTAGGAGGGCCAAATGATCGACAAGTGGCATTAATTGACGCAAATAAAGATTTGTTTCTGGTTTCTGTCAGAACTACTGGCTTTGGTAGAGTATGTAAAATAGGTAAGCAATTTAGCATTCATAATTTGACTGTAAACAATTACGTAAATTCAACATTTTAAACATTAATTGATTATAGACAAATACTATATAAAATAATGTTATTACATTGTATTAATAATTTTAATATTATTTAATCGTATTAAATTACTTTAATATTATTAAATTGTTTTCAAATGTTCCCTTATATTATTATACCTGATTAATTGGATCAGGTCGTTAAAAGAGACAGTACCTCGTTGCAGTCCATTAAAACTATACTTTTACACATTGCTTTTCCTTCAGCTGCAATGGCGCAAGATATCGCATGGGCGACAGATGCAAATGTTCTGGCAGCGATGCTGGATGCAATGTTGTCTGTATGGCTGTGTCCTAATTGTTTACATTATAGCGATAGGAAAATAATAAGGAAAACAAGAATTGACAAAGAAAGCAGGTTTGAATTTATTTATTCCTTATATTTGCGAAAAATCTATTTTCGAATGTACTATTAACAAAATTTTCAGTGAATTTGGGAAACAACCAAGTATTTCGAGTGTATATAATGGTATGGTAATGATACGACGTGGAGACGGAGCATTAGTGGCGTCTTCGTTTTACACGTTCTTCATTAGTCTTCATCAACACATATTAAATAAGAGGTGGAAAGAAGCGTTATCTCTTTGTCGAATTGCGCAAGTAATTAGAATCCTTCTATTTAATAATGTAATTGTGTAATACTTTTACTGAAACATGGAACTTCTACGCAGAATGAGATATTGTGGACGTGTATGGCAGTAATGGCAACTGAGAGTAAGGAGCTGAATGCCGCGGAAGAAGCGTATGCAGCTATTTCGAGATACGACAAAGTCGACTATATTCAATACATAAAGGTAACGATAGTGTATAAAGGAAAAATGAAATTACTTTTTTAAACCTGTATGACATTTATACATCAAACGTTAAAAGAGTTTCACCAATAAAACTGAAAGACTAGCAGAAATGGCGCTACTATCGGGTGACTTGTTGACTGCAGAAGGCATACTCCTGCAGAATGGATTAATTGCAGAAGCTATACGTATTAACGTCGAAGTGTACAATTGGAACAGGTATTTTTTTCATTTTAGTCAGAGGTAGAATTTAAAAAGTATATTTATTTGTAGCATTTACATTTACGTTTTAGAGCATTAGAGCTGGCTATTAGACACAAAAAGCAACAAGAAGAAGTTTTAAACGCAAGAAAGAAATATCTTCAAGTGATCAATAAGGAAGAAACAAATCAAAGTTTCCTTGCGTATATTGCGAATATCGCAAAAGTACAAGTAAGCTAGTCATTTTTTTAAATTGCACAATTGTCTTCAGTTGCACATAATTTGTTTTCTCTGAACAGTGAGAATAACTGTTTTTACCAGGATATTAATGAAACAAATAAAGGTCACGTTCGAGATACTATTGAGAAATCTCTTACAATAAGTCGAGAGGAGCCTGAATTGTCGGAACAAGGATTTTCGAAACATGAGACATTGGACCAAGAAATGCATATGTGAAAAAGCAATACGGCTAGCGTTTATACAAATTGTTTATTAAAATATCTGAAATTTAAATATAATGAGTCCTTATTTGAATGAAAAGGATCGTCTAAGTTATTAGACCAAGGAACATTATTTACATTTAATGAAAATTTGAGAATAATTAAAAATTTGTGCAGAAGGATACTGTGAAAATTTTTATTACAATAAATTACTGGATAAATAAATGTTTATAAGAATATATTTAGTACACGTTAAAAAATTAAAACTTTTAAAAATAGTAAAAATATAAAGACGATTAACATGGAAAATATAAATAATAACACAACCTTATGCGTGTACCACGTTGTTTCTTTTGTTACTGGCCTATAACGAGTTACCAAGGCGGACTGAAATTAATAAGACACGTTTACATAACGAAATTATCATAGTTACTTTATTTAAACTACACTATATATTTCAACCTACCCATCCACCATTGGCTTGTATCCATGCAACGAGATCATCTTCCAAAACATCAGTCATACCTGAAACCACATCAAGAATTTTTTAATAATAATAAAATTCTATAATTTAATTTTTTTTCTTTTTCTATAATATTTATTTCTTAAAATAACAGGAATAAATATTTCTATTATTATTCTTCAAGTAATTTTAATTTTACGAACAATAGTATTTTATATTGCTTTTATTCATACCATTTAGTAATAAACAGAAAGTGTCAATTATCAGAATTCTTTTTAATACCCTTGCTTTTAAATCATCTTTCGTACAGCTACAACAGCAAGAATAGTGCACATCATTTTAATAATATTAGCTGTTTTACATGATGAGTACACATTTAATACTTCTTAGTTACGTCGTGTTGCCAAAATAAAAAAAAAAATTGAAGTAAAAGAACAACATTATAATTTTAAAAAAACTGATTACCTCTCTGTATGGCGGGTAAAAACTCAGGCTTGCCCTGGCGCACGCAATCCACAGCAATGCCACCTGCGATGGCGTAAAGGGCTATCACTTTGCTCCAAGTCATCTCGCCGTTTCTGATCATCTCCCTAGAGACGTCGACTATGGCCTCGTTGACGGATTGTTCCGAGGAGAAACTGCCGCAGCCGATTTGCCGAGCAACGCGATTGAACACGTTCGGATGCATTTTCTCTAATTCCGCCCCGACCGATATCAATTCTGGATACACTTCTCCTACAACTGCACCGCCAGGAAGCAACATGGCGCTCCTCATCCTCTTCAAGCCAAGCTTCCGATGAAAGATCCCAGACCGTTTTAATCGGTTTCGTATGTACTGACCGCATAACGATGAACCCTATGAACATAATATTATATAATATTATTACAATATTATAACACAATAATTATAATATTAAATAATATTAACACGTTGCGTGTGTGGTAGAAATATGAGGACATTGGAAGATGACGTTAAAATTAATTTTAACACTAAAACTACCGAGCAACTAAATTGACCTTTTGAAAGTTCTCTATAGAAACTCCAAGAATGCATCTATTAAAACTTTTTGTACAAAATATTGGTAAGTAACAACTTACAATAACAATGATACTATTTTATATACTAATATAAACGATAATGCTAGACGATAATCCAATTTCCCTTAAATCGGTCAAAAAGGGCTCTATTTTGATATATAAAAATGGCGAACCTCATGTAATTAAAAAATAAAATATTTAACCCTTTGCACTCGAAACTTTTTCTCACTGACATTAGAGTAATTCAAAGTAATTTTAATAGAAAAAGCATATCTGTTTTTTATCGATCATAGATATAAATGTAATAATATATTTAATGACAAAATTTTACAATTTGTAATGAAAAATTTTAAATGGCTCCGCTCCGGGGTCTTCAAGTGCAAAGAATTACTGAATAATAAGTAAATTATTAACATTTATGTTGTATCTACTGCTAAAAACCTAACTAAATGTAAGTATATTTAATAATAAATTTTTCTAATACTCCTCGTTTCTCAACGGAAATGTTTCAAATATTTTTATAAATACTAGAAGATTTTTCATTTCCACCAATACACTTAACAATCTTTAATTAATCCTTCAAATATTCGTTCCTTTAATATTATAATAACGTTATTTCTATAACTGTTTAAATACTCAACCACCGTTGGGAATGAAATACTACACAAATCAACAAGTTAAAAGCATCGTGTTATTTTTCAATCATTCAACTATCGTGTAAAAGATATGTGTTGCAAATGAATGTAAATTGTGGATCTTTACCTGCGACACGGTGAGTTCAACAGAAGCGGACACGGTCCTCCATCGTATCGTGTGAGAGATTTTCCTCGAGACAACGTCGCTGAATCTTCTTCTCGCTGAATCGACGACATGGAAAGGCGAAACCTCTGGATTGTTAGGTGTCGTGAAACCAGCCAAATTCGAATGCAAAGATAAAGCGAGGCTAGCTCTTCGGCCAGACTGCGTCGTGCTTCCGGAAAACTCCTCCAAGCCGCGTAGAGTACCGACTAATCCAGACATTGAAGAATCCTCCGCAATATGTTCCTGCCATTCAGGTTTCTCAGGCTTAAAGAATTTCAATGTACTTTAAAAACAACTTCCCACTTGAAAGAGTACTATAAGAGTATATTGAATGAACAACAATAAAAATAACAGGAATTTTTGTACTCGGTATTTTCCTTGGGAACTCATGGATTTACAAGGAAAAAAGGATTAATGGTATTTACCGATGTCCCGCGTACCATCGCGATTCACTCCTTATCTTGTTAACTGTTACAAGATTTATGCAAGAACTGATGCGATTAATACGACTAAATTGCGAACGGTTATGCAAGCATAGTGTATATAAATACGCAAACTATGCGTGAGAGTGTGGGTATGTGTTTATTAAATATTCCTTAGTTTATTATTTGAATTATTGTGATTTAATTTAAGTCGTATGTTAGGGAAGATTGTTCAACGTTCGATATTCTTATTTAAATTTGTAAGGTCTTAAAGTCTTGTGCATTTAAATCAAATCGCGTATCCACAGTTCTTTTCATTTGCAAGTTCTCACTTTTCAAATGTAAGTTCCTTTCACACTGCGTTTAAATAATATTATTTGTGTTTAACCAAGAATAACATGAATAATTCTGAATAGTACTACTTGATAATGCACCATTGCTTTGTTGGACTATCTATGCATGGTACATGTAAGAAATATGCACAGAACATGTAAAGTGTATACAACGTGCATAAATCAGTCAGTATGCAAATTATACATTATGTAAAACTTGCTAAATGAAAAATATATTCCAACAAACTTCTAGTGAAAAAAGTAAATTACTGTTAGGATTTTATTTCTACACATGTGCTTCTTAAGAGTACGCGTTTATATAAGCATTCACAATCTAATAATAACTATTTTACATACATTTAAAATTAAATTAATTAGTATTATATATTAAATTAATGGTTATTAATCATTCATGAATGAATAATGAAAATATGTTAATGAAATTGTCCATTTCCTGGTGGCAATGAAATTCTTCAGGAATCTTTCCTTGAAAATCAAGAGTTCACATCTACTGTTTTATATTTTTAATGTCAAGGATTTTCGTCGACTACGAAGAACTGCACTGCACTATGATATTTTAACCAATTACCTGCGTTTGGCGAGTATACGCGTCATCCTAAAACTCGAAATGATACTAATCTTTTCAACGATGAATTAGTGATTTTTCCAGATACACATGTAATTCTTCGTTTCGCTTTAGTTTTTCGTCAGAATATATTATAGGTACATTTGCACTGCGTTTGGCGAGTACATACTTCGTTGCTTGACTTTATCGCGCACAATAAGAGATTTTTCAAACTAAATTCCGCAGTTAACTGGTTAATACAGTGCTTATTCTACTTTCTTCTGCATGATCATATTATACTGTAGAAGCAAAACAATGAAATTGTCCATTTATTGGTAACAATGAAATTCTTCAGGAATCTCTCCTTGGAAGTCAAGGCGAGCCTCGAGTGGCATCGGTGAATATCCCAAGTCCCTTTATGGTAATCACGGGGCACACGCTCACGAAGGCGAACGTTGACAGAATCTTCTGTCCTTACTACCACACCGATCGCGGTGCGTTCACACCAGGTACTGTGAGTAATTATTATTCCATTCGCGGACACAGCTGTTGTTATCTGGAAGCCTTATTCAGCCCTTGTTATTTAACATGCTTCGCGGCGCTTTCTGTGCCGTCTGAATGTACACAGCCATTGTGTGCGTATTACTTATCTCTATCATGTCGTTTGCCCTCTTAAAACTCGCGGGATTAACCGTCGCGTGTATCGTTGCCAAAATAAAACAACCTGTGCTAATTAAAAAAATCACGATACGCGAAGTGTTAATAACTTCGTTAACACAAGGCAATCAGGCACGAAATTAAAGACACACTTTCCTTCTACAATTCTGGTCTATATATTTTTTTATAAATATTTGTTTATGGCTTGATTATTATTACATTTTGCATTTTACGTTTTTAAATGTATTATTTAAGATATAAAGTTATGATACAATTTTATGAATTTATTGCATCGAGATTTAATAATTTTATCGCAACGAAACATCTTTATTTATTAAATAAAATTGTAAAGTCATTTATTTTTGTCTAAAATCTACCTAATACCTTTAGTTTAGCAGATTTAAATAGTTGGTATAAATCATATTTCTAGGTTTTTAAAATAATATTTAATTTTTTTCCATAGACTATGCAAAAGATATATTTTCCAGTACTACTTAATTTTTTTTAATTAAAAAATGTCTGTTTCATTCATTTCATTGTACTAATAGTTACGTAGTTTGAATATGTACAGAATTTCATCATTACCATTATCGTTATAATTATTGCGTAGAAAAAATTACTAAAACTTTATAAATGAAAAAAAACCTGTACTATAGTATACATAATTAAGACTTTGATATGCTGTACTTGTCACAATATACAACAGACACACGATCATTTACATTAGGATACTATTTATCATCGTATCATCACGACAGTCGTCAAATACATAGCGAATATTGTCTATTTCACAATATTTAATGAAACGTCAAATAGAATACATAGGTATACAGTTTTCGTTTTTACAAAATATTTGCATTGCTCAACACACTATTTATTATCAATTATTTAACAGTGTACACAAATTTATTTCAATCTTGAGTATTAAGAGTTTTAATGATTTAATGTATATTAGTTTTCAATGTCTTTCACAAAACGTACGCATTCGATGAGTTACGAAGCTCTTTGATTTAAATTTACTTAGCATTCAGCATTATAAAAACAGTGTTTAGTCAATTAAAACTGATTGCGGAAAAAGTTAATGACTCAGTGTCTGCGGTTGCTTCTTCCGAGTGTCGGTTGATTATCAATTATCAACGCTGAGCAACTGCTCAATTATCGTCTGAGAGTCTATGTAACTAACCGGTTTGTTTCAATGTCTTCCTTTAATCTCAGCAGTCATATTCATTTCATAGATACGATATTGAAAAATGTAGAGTATAGGATTTTAAATCCGATATATAAAATTAATCGCGAGAAGCATACTAAAAAAATGAAACTTATTTAGAAAAGTTTATAAAAATGCTCCTTCATATATTATCCTAATGATTAACATTCATAAAACTCGCAATTATTTTTAAATATTTGTGAAAATGACGAAGGCAATAAAATGAGTTTGCTACTTAGTATTATAATTGATTTATCTAAATTGTTTTGAAACTAATTGAAAATATATTGAATTTAAAAATGTTTCAATGAAATATTCATTTCACTACATTGTTTACATTAAAAAATTTTATAATACATTAGAAATATTATTATAAAGTACCGTGTTGAATAGAAGCAAAGATTTCACTACTTTTTAACCGCTTGCCTTTCTATTCCAAATATACTCAGGATTTTATTTTGCACTGAATTTATTTAACTTTTACATTCAAATATTAAAATATTTAAATGTTTTATTTCCTACTAAAAACATTTACAATAAAATCCGAGTTAATTCGGGATATTAATTTGGGTGTTTTTGATGGTTTTATTCTTTTCTGCCAATATATTGTCACACATTCAAATATCAAAATGTATGAATAAAAATATTATCACATTTTTTATTACATTTTCAAAATTAATTCATAAGACAAGCGGTTAAACAGTGGAATGTCTAGAAACCTTGTGAGAGGACGCGTTAACTCCTTGCCTTACGATTTATTTCTCAACTATGATCGATATAATTACTTTGCTATGAACAATTTATTGAAAAGAAGAAAAATTCCATGTATATTCTACGTCTACGTTTGATCTAAATTATAATGACTGATAACAGAAGAATAACGTTTAATTTGCATTCAAAAGAATCGAGTTACACTTACGCTTATTAACACTAAATTTACGAAACGAGTCAATTTTACTCACATTGAATTTTATAAATATTATTCACTAAATGTTTGTATTAATTGTAATTGATCCAGTTACACAAATATGTATTCTAATTGTCTATATTTAAACGTCCAATTTCCAAAAGTTAAATGAACAAATATCAATTTTTCTAAGAACTATAGAACGAACCGCACAGTAAATATCTGTAGATCTAGTGTTAAATTTTGTTTAAAATCTTCTCTGCGAGTCTGTCGCGTTGTTTTAAGGCAAGGGGTTAAAAATGAAACGTATCGACACGTAGAGAACGAGATGAATTTACCGATGAATGCGTCACTGCCTCCTGAACTCCCAATCGAAAGTCGGGCTTCATCGTAATTAACACGCGTCTGTCTCATTAGTCACTGTCGCGTAACTTGTTCCACATAGTACATTATACGCGTAATATACTTTTGTTGAATTATCGCTTATCAACGGTGAGGCCTGACCGGTCGATTATCGTTCGAGGAGTGTGCGCAGCGGCGCGTTAAATCGTTTGTTTTATCATTTTTCAAGGCTTATTTCCACGCCGGAATGATGCTGATAATAAGACCACGCGTCATCATCGCATTTTTGCACTTTTACGTCTGATGCAGGTGGCTTCATACGTCACGAACTTGGACGAAGTTGGACGTGCATGGAGAAACGAGAAAGTGGGGAAATTCGTAATCCCATTCATTAATTTCTTGCGTTACTTTTTCTTCGTGATTTCTTTGTAACGCTAAAACTGCCGAGCAGTTAAACTGACTTTTTGAAATTCCTTTATAGAAACTCTAAGAGTGCATTCATTGATGCTTTAACTGATTTACAATCCAGTTCGCCTATTGCTAAATCAATTTCTTTAATAATTTTTCAAAGAAACATCTGCTACCTTTTTAATAATTGCGAGGGAAAGAAATCAGAAATGGGTCATTTTGACCCGTTTGGTAGTTTTAGTGTTAATACAGTTACCAGTTTTATGTACATAACAAAGGTATCGTATTTGTTCTAAGTCCCAAATACAGCTACTGTTAAACTGTAATTTAATTCTTGGCATCGGACAAAATCGGATCAAAAATAGTTTCAATTAGAAAGAGACAATAACATTGAAATTACTTTGTTGCTATGTTTGTATGATAGATGTAAGAATATTTTGTGTTCTTCGAGAAGTAAAAAATCCGAATGAAAAATTATTTTTGGTTACGTATTATTGAAATTCAAATGCTCGTAATTATATGATTGCGTGCTGGGGTAAGTCGGGGAGAGATGGATCACTTTTTTAAAAAGAACAAATACATCATGAATATTATATAACGAAACATAAAATATGCGTATAAGAATAAATATACTTATATAAGAAGATAAAAAATTATATAAAAAATTGAAAATATTTGACCATCTTAATAAGATCGGGCCATCTAATCTACAGAGCCATATCACTCGGAGTTATACTATGCCTAATCATCTGAGTATTATACTGGTAATAAAACTAAATTTCATAATTTATTTTACAAACAAAATCGATCATCCGTTTGTATTTCTCAAATTGAATACTTTGAAGTCTCAAATGTCAATGATTTTCTAATTATCCTAAGCACCTATTACCATACACTTATTATTACATAGTTAATTATAATCCATACACTTAGTATTACATAATTAATTATAATCCATTAATTATCAATATTAACTTATTAACTATTTATTGTATAATTCTTCCAAGCAATGAATAACATTTCAAGCATCAAGAAAAGGTAAAGAAATATCCTTGAAGGAAATGTAGGTAAACGGTCCTTATTTGGCATACTTTTATTTAATCTTTTCAAACCCGAAGCACAATATAATGTACACTGTTTTACTAGTTCAGTATCTAACAGAATATTAAGACTGTGATGAGCAGCCATATATAATAATACACCTTTGCTTCGAGCCTATTTGTATCAGAAAAGTAGTTTACTATCTCTATTTTATTCGAAATAATGTGGTGACTAATGGTGCATTGAATGAGGGTTCATTGTTATTATATAAGTAAACATAATCCTGTATAAAAATCAGGTTTTAGTTACTTTCTAAAAACTGTTAATTTACGTACTATGGTGGAGGGGGTAAATGCACCCCAGTTTTTAGTAAGTTTGACTTTCAACCCATATATCTTTAATTTGTTTTATAATACTTATAATAAATACAAAGGAATTAGTGAAATAAAGTCCTAATATAAAAAGATTTAAAATTTATTTATAGTAATGGTACAATGTTAAATGTTAAAAAATGATATTATTGAACAAATGTATTAATCAAAATAAATGTATTAATAAGAGCCCGTTTATGCACTTACCCCGCTCCACCTTATCCGAAATAAATTCCATTCTTCACTCTCTTAACTTTAGAAGTCATTTTTTATGCGTCATTTACATTGTATAATTTCAAAAGTGATTTGATATCTCTTGTATATGCACATTTTTTATGATAAAATATCATTACTGATGGTACGTTGAATGACGATTCATTGTTATTAGATATGTGAACAGAATTTCGTACAAAATCAGATCTGAAGGAGTTCATCGGTGATTATACGTATTCAGTGAGACTGTTAAAATGTCGAAAAAACAGGTGCCGCTGTCATGACATTCTTTTCTGTTTGTAATAACCTGTTCATTGTTATGTAAGCGAGTAAAAATGTATGCTGGTCTCAGTTGAAAACAAAAAACAGTCTCCTTCGTTTGTGATTCAAATGCGAGATCAGAAAAAGTGCTCACCGTTTCAATTAACGGCAGTTGTTAATTGGCTGACAATCCAAAATTGGTAAACGTTGAAATCCGACACCATTGCGAATTGCGAAATTCAGAGTGGCGTCCCAGAAACATGACAATCAAAAATTCTGCTTTCGCTGCATGTCGAAATGATGAAATTCAATTTACAAATAGATATTTATCGCAGGACAACGTGAATTATCGTTCAATTAAATGGCTTCCTAATTGATTCTGATTCTCGTTAGTGGCCGACAATCATTGAACTTAGTTATACGAATGTAAGTAAGAAGTGAAATAATTAGAGGTAACTCCTAATTGCTTCGTTAGCATGCTTGCTGGGGCAATTGGCAAAGTCTTAAAAATGCCCGTGAAGGAAATTGTGAGACAGTGAAATCGCGATTTAACACATTTTCCATGGTTCTTTTAATCAATTATTGAGTGTATTCATTCGTGTCAACAAGCTTACTTACGAAATAACGAAAGACTGTGCGTTATGGTCGTAACATTTTAATTAAACAGCTTTAACTTTTGGGTAGAGAAATGTCAGGCAACCTATATAGAGGTTTACCAGTTTACTGTCCAACAGAAACAACTAACAAATTTGTAAGTAAAGTAACTTTGTTTGTACTTAAGCATTGTGTAAACAATTTTTAAAGAAAGTCTTCAACTTTCGATCGGTGTGTTTAATTTACATTATAATTGTATATTTAATTTTATATTTAATTGATATTACTGTTTTGTCTAATATTTAATTTATAATTATTTTTTAATTTTTTTATTTATTCAATGAGTTTTGTTTACTTACTATGCATAGAGATTAATACAGAGCCTTTACATTTAATCAATTACAAATCCTTTTGAAATTTAAATAATACCATCGCCATTTTGGAATTGTTTATTATTCATGAAAAATGAAAGAAAGTAATTGAAAATAATGGCGATTACTTGAAGAATTGAGATAATTTCAATTCGGTAATATAAAATTAGCAAATAATATCTACACCTACTATTTAGATTAATAAATTGTCTAATTTTAATTAGTAGCTGTATGTGCAAGAAACGTATACATTTGCAAATTGATTTAAGAAGAAGAAAATCTTTGAAGAATTTCTTTTAATAATTTAAAAGAAAATTCAGCCTACCATTTCGTCGGTCTTCAGTTTGATTGATATAATATTTAAGCATATACATCACATTTTAAGCAAATCTAAAATAAATATTTGTAATAGTATTTAAAAAATTTAGTTTAGTTTAATTTACCTACAAATAACACGAGGATGTAGACAGCTGTTAATTATATAACGTAAAACCATTTGTCATCAGTGTTCCTTCTCTTGTTTTGCATAGGCACAGCACTTGTTGATGACACAATCGCGATTAATGCACGAGAAGCGTTCGCCGAAGATATGACTACTGAAATTTTCTGCAAAATAATATAATAATGAACCAATTTTATTTATGCGCGTTCAGCTGAATCAATTGGATTTAATTAATTTAACATTCTAACTGAAGATACTAAATGAAACATAAGAAAATTACATACTTTATTGACATTGGAAACCGTTAATCACGTTCAAGATACTAATCTAAATTAAGCAAACTATATAAAATTTTGTTTAGTTTTATTATACTATGACTCACTTTTTAATCTTGATATATGATTAAAAGTATTTGTTGAATAAATGGCAACAATAAATTCTATGAAGGAATATAGGTCAGTATCATTCGCAAATTTAAATGAGAATGTCAAAAGAGAAACTCTTGGTGATCCCTCGTGAAGAAAGTATACACGTGTGACAGCTACCAAAGGTAAGGAAAATAAATATCTTAAAATATCTATCTGCTATAAATAGAAACAAACGAATTGTGCAACTTAAAGGTCAATCAACGTGTTTCCCTTATTGATTTCAATCATTTTCTTAATTTCTTTCGTTTACCTTTCAATAAATCAACGATCACAACGATCATCGTTAACTGGCAATACCGAATGATAAACAAGTGATTACATTTAATTTGCAAACAATATACATTTACACATACCTTTGGAAATTATTTCAATATTAAAAATACAGTTTAGCATATAAATATTCCCACCTTCAATAGTTCATGTGACTTAGGATAGTTCAGTTATGTATCTATAAACTACTGTGACGTTTAGCCTATATTTCGAATAAAATAAGTGACAGACGAAATTGTTACCAAATATAGACTAACTTAAAATTAATTTGCACATTACTTTCTAATCAGTTTGGATAGAATTAATTACTTTAAAGATTCACTTAACTCCTCACAAAGAAATTATATTTTGATCATTTATTGGCCAAATGTATTATAGCAAATCCATTAACTGAATTTGCTCTTCTCTTGCTTTTAACGGTAAAAACTTTAATAAATCCATTTTATCAGGATATTATCTAATCAGAATTATTATTCTTTAAACTTGTAAAACACTTTACTATTTCGCGTTTGTATTAGCTAGTCGTTAATCTTAATTAAACCGTAGTAGTAATGACCAGTTAACCTATTAGAATGAGTGAAGTACAGTTTCTAAAGAATTTTGTCACTCTTATTTTATATTGCATCTTATTTAGAAAATGAAATATGGTAATGCTAATGAAGACATAAATTTTATAGGATGGCATAGTGCTGATTAATTAATGACAGTGATCATTCGAATTCAGTATTCAGTTTAATTATGTAAATCAGATCTGGAAAGATAATTACAGGTGTTTGTAGTCATCGTTATTCATACTATACGTAATTATCCCTAATCATTCCTTGTTTTTTAGTTGCTTACGTGTATAATATAAAATGAACTTCACGATAAATCACGATGGTTGATTATAACCTAGGTTCGTTTTCATCTAACAATGTTCAGCACACAACGAAAATGAAACATGACTTATTCATTGTGTAAAAATAGTAAACTGCTTTGTATAAATAATTCGTTTACAAAATATGAATTTGCAATTTCCATTATTCAGCTGCGTAAGTGATACAATCTGCTATAAGTAGAGTATCGTCATACTTTTAAATTAATAAATTATTTAGTATAAAAATAATATTTTTTTATAAGTTTCATTCTCATTGATTAGTATGTTAAGGAACGAGTCTATTTAAAAATCAGCAGCTTAACGGTAAGAATCGTTGTACAAAATTTAGTATTTTTATTCAACAATTATTTTTGCGTACAATTTGGAACTTCAAGAAGATATTCTTTAACCTGAAGATATTTTGAATTTCAAAATATCAGCAACGTATGGAAAAATAACACCAGCCACTGCTTAAATTTTTGCCATCGAATTTTTATAGGTGACGCAAGTAGAGAAAAAATGGACAACCGAATCGAAGAAACGATGTGTATGTAACTGACAGAATGACATATGGGTCGAGTCAGCGTTCAATGAGAGATGCGGGCTTCGCGGCCAGGTAACGGCTGTTCCCCCTCCTAAAAAAAGTCCAACCAAAAACAAAAAAACGAAGCCCTTTTCACATGTACTTCCAAAAGTATCCTGCAACGACTTGCTATGGCTAACGTCATGACGACTTTTGTTTCCCTTCACTTTCTCTCGTGACGCTTTTACTTTACGAAATCTTTAATATTCAAACCGGCAGCGATTAAAATGCTTCGTTTTAACATTAATTGTACTGAGATTGAACAATTGCACTTCGAAGTTTAAATCAAATAAATAATCTTTATTCAAATTAAGTATTTATGAAACTTACATACACTTAATAACTGTTTGGTGAATGTTTTAAGGAAAATTTATATTACCTTGCAGTTTGACGTTGGCTTGAAGAAATACCACAAATTTCAATTATTACATTTTATTTATCACAATTATCGTTGAACATTGTCATAGAACATTAAAAATTTCACGTATCTTGATAATGTACACAACACACTGAATTATCACGATGTTATCGAATACTCCATGAAAAAATCTTGTCTGTATTTCTTTAAAAACCCTAAGATATTATTTTCAGCGAAATAACGTATTGTTATAATAAAAAATGAAGATGCTGAAACATGTGAAAGAAACGTATAACGGACCATCGAAATTGTGAGGAGCACAGCGCGTGCACTACTGGTGACTTCAACTATTCCAGACCCAACTGCTATGTGAACGCCTTATAGAAGTGTTCCCTGCACACACGGCTGCACAACTGCATAAAGTTCACTTTGATCTGTACACAGAACTATTCAAATGTATAAACATAAACAGGTAATACTTCTGAAAACCTGACAGATCCGATGGAGCTGAAATTTCGTAAATAACTTCAGTTTCCATAGAAACAATGATAATAATAAGGATTTTTGGCGATCCGAAGACTAAGATGCAAAGGTTCAAGAAAAAATGTTTCATTACTTTAGTGGCACTTCCTGTAATTTTTTAAACTTTTACATTATAATTGATGATGCTCTAATATTCTACTAATAGCTTCATTTTGCATAGAAAAAATGTTTACGAGAAGGATTCTTGACAATTAAAAATTCAAGGCACTCAATTTTGCGAAAACGCATTTTACCATTGTAGTATCACTTCCTATGATGCCGACAGAACGTAGCATAAAATTACACTACCAACGAAAAACAAGATTAAGTCTGTGTTATTTGTACTCTGTTGATAACGTTATATGTGACACGAAAATGGTAAGGAGGTCGCGTACAATTCGCTTCTTACTATCAAGAACCCGCTCAGTTGACTATGCGGCTTGGAGGAAAAGGGAAGACGTCCATTCGCCGCCGTCGACCCGATTGTTATGGCGGCTTAGATTTGGCACGTCTTTGTTTCCTGACCGAGCCGTGGGATGAAAGAAGCAGACGGTCAATAACAAGAACATATCAAAACTGAGCCAGCATAACAATCGAGTCAAACGCAGCGAGTGCACGTTTCCTATTGCCTTTGTGAATTTTTAACCCCTTCCGGTAAAATGACGAATATAGCTCGTCATTGGGTTTTCATGCATACCGCACGATGACGAACTATACTCGCCATGTGACTAAAGTCACTGTTGAATGTTATAATAATCAATTTGGTTTAAAATTTTTAGTTCATTGAATCTAGTAATATTGTATCTTCTTTTATTATTTGTGTAAACATCACAGATTATTATCACATATTGTTTATCGTTAGAACTACTAGGTAAAAGTAAATAAACTAGAACATGTTTCTTTGAAATAAAAATTAGATGGTTATTCCATGTACAATTTTTCATAATTAACCCTTTGAACTCTGTAGGCTCCAATATTGCACCAGTTATAATATTAAATATTTTAATGAATCTTAAAGAAACTACCCTAAAATTATTAAATTTTCTACACTTCCGAATTTTGTACTAAGAAGGAAAATAAAAGATCGAAGAAATGTTATAGCATTTCTAATTTTCGCTAGGAATACTATAAAAATTAGTTGCAGTTGCTGATAGATTACAAAACAACCTGGAGTGCTAAGGGTTAAATCTTACCGGAAGGGGTTAAACAGAAGGCTGACGGCATTAACGTGAGAGGCAAATAGTAGATACATGGGAGTGAGAAGGAAAGAGATAGTTGTGCCAATGTGTCGGTAACGTAGATTGTAGATAAAGTCAATTTCTGTTTGTTATTAGAAATTGTTTAACTATACATTTTAAAAATTCTTTTCTTAATATCCGTAATATTCTTTTTGTAAATAGTCAGTTATAAACAAGCCGTCATAGAAGTTGGTCGATAAAAATATTTCAACTTTATAATTTAGTGAATATTGTAAATAAATATATCGAATAAAGAAATACGCCACAGCATATGGAAATGAGATTAAAAATTTTTTTCCATTATTCTCTTAACGGCAATTTTAATTTAATTTTAATTTCCTACTGTTTCAGCTTCATGCCCCCTCGAGAAACCCTCAAACCTCCTCGAGAAACCCCTCAAACCCCCTCGAACTTGAAAAACCGATCCTGCCCCATCGAGAAACTTCTCGAACCACCTCGAGAAACCTCTTTACGAGGAGTATGCACGGAACAGTAAGAATTATTTATTGTATCCGACAGATTACAATGAGCGGTATACTCAGTACTTTTTTTAATAAATAAAATACAATACATAATTATTACTGTAATATGCATTATATGATATGCACAGAATAGTGAGAATTATTTATTGTATTAGAAAGATCGCATACTATACTGAAATGAAAAAAGAAATTTTCCACTGCGGATGATCGATGTTTTCTTTTTTAAGCTTAAAGCTAATTTAAAAGAAACATAGTTTTATCTTAAACTACACGTGAAGATGTCACGTATGCAGAAGAATTATCGGACTAACGAGAGCAAAACGACTGAGTCAAGAAAGAAGTCTCTAATTAAAAAAGAGATAAATGAAGCTAAAGAATAACTACTCGGTCTACTGTAACACTCATCACACAATTTCGCAGCTGCTTAACCTAGCACGATCCTCGATAGGAACTACTCTATCGACAATAATGCAAGGAGGTGAATGGAAACAAAATTCCATCGATCTCCCATTCTAATTCTAAATCTTATCATTAACACACTTAGAATTATCGCGATGAATATTAATCCCTCGGCGGATGTCTTCCTTCTTGAGTCTATACTGAAATACAATAATAACATATTTATAAAATAGTTATATGGTAATTGTAAATGAGCTGTAGTAACATTAATTAAAAATTTATTAAAAAAACACATTTTGCCAGCTGCGATAAAAATGATTAAAGTGCGATTGTGTCTTAATGAAAATGAAGTTAAAGCAGATGAATCTAAGATTAGAGAAAGTTAAAATTATGAAGAGATGCCATAGTAGGATAAAGTTATTTAAATCAGAAGTACAATTAAATTACACTGAAAATAAAATGGGACTCGAACTAAAGTAAATAAAGTTAAAAAGAAAGAGGTCTTAGGTTTTCCCGAAACAGAAAGTTACTTTATAATATAGTTAATTATGTTCAATTACATGAAACTAAATGTAAGGAGAAATGTTTTAAGAAATGGGAGTGTCCACTTAGAATATTATATGTGCGATCAAAATCCCGAAAATGGACCATTTCTTTCGTAACATTAATTAATGAAATCAAATAAATAAAATAATCAAAAAACCCGAGGAGTTCAATATCGATCGCAACTTCAATTTATGTAATACAGAATGAATAACTCGCGTGCACTAGTTTCATTATATGTAGCACTACACTTAAGAATATGGATTAACCATTATGGCTGTTGGTAATAATTTGCAGCTATTTTAGCCGCGAAAAACCACTGTTCGCAGTGATGCGAACTGCTTTGCAGTTCTTATAGTTCCAGTATATTTTTGAACATTTGAATATCACGCAACTCTAAGACAGCGCGAAAAATCATTGTCACGACACTAAAAACATGCGATGGATTGATATCAAAACGCTACTTTAATAAATGAAAATTGTATCTAATATCAATTATTTGCAACACTATCCCAAAATCAAAAGAAATTAATTGATTTAATTTAAATCAATTTCAAAGGCAAGTACAAAAAATAATTGTAATTAAAATCACGATTATATCATTCGCAACTCTAAATCAAACCGTAATGTTTGTTTCGTAACGCTAATTAAAAATCACGAAATGCTCTGAACGTTGAGGTGGCTATGGCCAGCCCAATATAACTACAGCTACTTCTGCTACTACCACTACTATGTCTACTGAAGCTAAAGTGAGTGCAGCGATGAAGTAGTAATATAAAATGACACTCCATCTTCATGCTAAGATGCAGCGCCATTAGTAGTTGCCCTCTTGAGCGACATTTTGTCGGAGTCTCTTCAGCATATGCCTCTTCTTTTCTTCGACAGTCCGCCATTTTTGAAAGTCGAAAAATGTCATCGACCTTTCGACAGTGTAATCGAATAATTTCAGACATTTCGCCTAATCGCGCTAGGTACCAATCACGACCGCGGTATCTAACCAAAATTCGAAAAGCCGAAGTCAAGATTGATGATTAACAAACGGCATGCTCCATTTTACTATCAATATGGAATCGATTTTTCAAGGTCTCCCGGTAACTCGTTCTACTCATGCAGAAACGATGGCCAGCACCGGCCCCTGCCTACTTAAATCTAATATTCATTCCAGAAAGTATGTTACCTGCTTACCTAAAGCTAGGTAAGGTGGGTAACACCCAAGTGCAAAAAAACTTAACACCTAGGGAGGAAGTTCCGGGACGTATTGCTTGTATCGGTTTAATTAATTTCATGTGTTTTTGTAATTTTTGTAAAAAAAAATTTTCGTTAACTGCATGCTCCTCCTCAATAAAGAGTTCTCCTGACAAACGAAGAGTTTCTCCATATAATAATTCTGCTGTAGATGCTTCAACATCTTCTTTGTATGCAGTTTTTAATCCTAATAAAACTGTTGGTAGAGTTTCTGTCCAATTTTGATTTCCTTGACATCTAATAACAGTCTTGACTGATCGATGTCAACGTTCGATTAACCTATTGGAAGCTGAATGGTATGCAGTTGTCCTTATTCTTTTAAATTTCACAATAGAAGCTAAAGCTGTAAAAGCTTGCAATTCAAATTGAAATCATCTATCTGTCGTTATCGTTGATGGTGTACCAAATTTTGAAATTCATGTTTCGTAAAATTTCATGGCAATAGTAGTTACTGAAGTATCTGCTATCGGTATTGCTTCAGGCCACCGAGAAAACAGATACGTCACTGTTAAACAATAACGATAACCATGTGATAGTGGCAATGAACCCACTAAATCAGTATATACATGTCGAAATCTTCCTCTTCGCATAGGAATTCATTCCGGCATGCTTTTATTATGTCGATGTATTTTATTCTTTTGAGAGGATATGCATATTCGAACCCAATCTGCAACTTGTTTTGCCGTATATAGCCAAACGAAATCATCTTTAAAACCTTTTCCCTACAAGTTTTAGGTACATTAGGTCTAATGTTTTCATTTTCAATATTGCAATATAAAATTTGATTTTCATTCCCAACTCTTAATTTCTATAATTACAATGAAGAATTTTTGTCCTCGATAAGTTATTTTAACTCTTCATCTTCTTGTTGACCTAAAGCTAAATCTTAAATATTAATGTTAATTAGTATATCTGTTGATTCAATTCTTGAAAAGAAATTAGCAACGATGTTATTCTCTCCTTTAACAAATACTATATTTATAGTGAATTGTCCAATAAAATCTAAATAACGAAGTTATCTGGACGAAGCTTTTGATAATTTTTGTTTAAATGCAAAAGTTAATGGTTTATGATCTGTTTTCATAATTAAATTTTGACCTTCTACCATACATCTAAAAAACTTTATTCCTGAATAAATGGTTCTTAAATGTTTCTTATGTTTCTCTTCGTCTTTCGATGCTATTATAAAGACCAAATGGCATTGCAGAAAATTCAAATAATCCAAAAAGGATAATAACGGCTATCTTCGGAACGCCAACAAAGATTTTAAAATCTAATAATTTGCGAGCAAAATCTTGAATATGGGGAACTGGATACTTTTCTGGAACAATGATTGAGTTTAATCTTCTATAATCTCCACATAGACGCCATTCTCCATTCTTCTTCAGGACCATGTGCAATGGACTTGCCCATTGACTCAGAGGTCTACAAATCCCTTTTCTTATCATATCCTCAAACTCTGCTTTGGCAATTTAAAATTTTTCAGGACTTAATCTTCTAGTTTTTTTGGCAATTGGTTGACCAGTCGTTATAATATAATTTCAACTTTATTTAAAAACTCTTTCCTAACTGGTTTTATAATATCTATAAATTCTTGTAATAATTTATTATGTTTATGTGATGAATTTACCATGGAAATTGCTGATACTGTATTTATATATTTAATATGTCCGAAACTATTTAATTTGGTATTTCCATCAATAATTCTTCTGCCACGTAAATCTACCACAAGTTTATAACGGCTTAGAAAATCTGCACCAATAATTGAATGATTTGTATCAGCTATTAAAAATTTCCAACTCAAGGATTATCGAAGTTCTAGGTTTGCTGTTATTAATTTTTAGTCGTATGTTTTAATAATCGACCCATTTGTTGCATATAACATTAAATTTGATGGCAAATGATTTTCTTTAATGAATTTCCTCTAAATAATTAAAATATTAGCTCCATTATCAATTAAGTATTTTATACCTGTTGTTTTGTCCAAAATGATTAGAAGATGATCGAATTTGATGCCATTGTAAGTCTCCTATACTTCTGATAGCACATTTAGTTTTCCAAATCAGTTTGCTCCTTTCTTCTATCTTTTTCAGTCCGGCAACATGATTGTTTACATTGAAATTATTTTCCTCCAAACTTTCAATAGTATAAACAAAATGATGGATTTTCTTTTTGAAATATCAATCGACTTCTGAATCTATTTCTTTTGAAATTGCATCTTGATTGTGATCTCCCTCTAAACTGATTCCTTTTGACTTCGATGTTCTATCATGTGTCTTAATTCATTTAATTGGTCTTCGTGAAATTTATTTAATTTATTTTTGTTATCAGAACTTTGAACCATGTGTACCACCAAAATTGTTGGTCTCAATACTTCAACAATTTTATCAACTTGAAGAACTAATTTGAATGGATCTTTAACTTCTTTTATAGCCAGAATTCCTCTCACTTGATTGGGTATTTATTCCAAAAATATTGTTCTCAATACACTTTCATTGCAAAGTCCTTCTGCTAAATTCCTTGAAGGTTATAGAAAATTTGATGGTTTTTCATCAGCAATTTCGGTTCTTCTCAAAAGTCTTCTTAACTTTAATTTAGTTGACTCATCAAAAGAGGTAATGATTCTCGTTTTTAATATTTCCTATTCTCCTTTTTTCTGGAGGATTACTTAGAATGCCTGATGCAAATGATAGAACTGTCTAATCTAAATTGAGAATTGTATACCTGAATTTAGTCTTATCGCTGATAAGACTTGATTAATATGAGACTTCGAAAAGGATCTTCTGCGCACATATAATACAGACTTTATTGCATGCAACACGAATTACACAATCTCTCTCAGCCTGCGTTGTCCTCTGACACGATCCCACTAATAATCTGCTCCGTTTTTCGGTTAACGGCGTTCGTCCTTTTTTTGCGCCAACTCTGTTTTGTCATTAGCCGTTGATATAGCGTGGACCCTACGTACGCGCCATCAAACATATATACATCATGAATGCATCAGGCGAACTCGCTTATATAGTGAAGTTAGGCACGGACACATACGTACACGATACCTACGTAGCAGTCTTACACTTCACTTGCCTCTTTGAGGAACTTTTAATGAATTAACTGAACGTTTACAACTGAAAAGCATATTATAAAATTGACAATCTTAGCAACGAAAAACATAACAATCGTTAAATACAATAAATCAATAAGGTTGGCTAAGAAGTGTTCTATCATATCGGCAACACTACAAGCGCAGATTTTCAGAAACAATCAGTCGATTGGTCGCTCCACACTCCAACACCTTAATAATAAAGTTCACGAATTTAAGCAACCACCAACCATCGTAGCAACGTAGACTTCTGACACAAAATCTCAAATTTCAAATATGGAACAGGTTCCTTCAAACCTTATGTAATAAAGGTAACTGTCTTATAATTGGAGACTTCAACGTAAACCACACTTTCTGGAACGGCTAAAACACAGATCCCTCTGAAACCAACCTGGACAAAGCTATAGAAGAAAACGATATCTTCATCCACAACTATCAAGGATGCTAAAAAATTAACACCTCAACATCACCCAATAGCAACCTGGATTTGTTCATGTCAACCCAAGACATATCACATATCATCAACACCACTCAACAAAAAGACTCTTTAGGATTGGAACACTACCTCATCGAGATTTTACTGCAAACCTCAAATTTTAAAAAAGTGTATTAACTCAGCAACCCCAAAAACAAACAGGAAAACATCTGAACACTGCTTACCACATAATCCAACCCTTTGGTGGGATCATGAATGCTTCAAAGCTATAAGATTAAGGGTAACTGCATTTCTTAAGTGGAAACACAGCTTCATAATGATCGATTGGATCTCCCATAAAAAATAGGTAGCAATCACGAAGAAGTTACTTAAATCCAAAAAGAGACAATCATTTGAAAATTTCTCCTCCATACTAAATCTATACACCAATATTGGTTACACCTGGCAAAAAATCAAGACATTCTAGTCAAGATGGACAAATACCAATAGCACACCTCATAAAGACTCAGATAGACCAGAGGTATTTCAAAGTGCAATAGAAAAACTCTGCCCTCCTCGGGTACCAGAACAAACAAAAATCTCAAAGGAGATTTACAATGATACCTTTTTAGACAGCAACTTCAATCTCTTAGAGCTAAGTTATGCAATAGATGATCTAACGCAAAAGATAATGTCTGTAAAAATCAGATTACTTATACTAGACATTCTAAACCCTATCTATATTAACAACTATCTACCAAACAACTGGAAAACATTTCAAATAATTTTACTACCCAAATCCAATAGCAAAGATCTCAGACTGATCACCTTGATATCATGCCTCTGCAAACTATTAGAGAGAATGTTAAATAGGCTGCATTGGTGATACGAACATCACTACAAACTAAATAAGGTACAGACTGGCTTCATAAAAGGCAGATACTGCCAGGATAACTTAGGCATAATCATCTCTCAAGCCAGAAAGGCTATAATCAACCACTAACATGAGAATTATGCAAAATCCTCCTGCACAAACTCTCTTCACTCTGCATCTCCACCAAAATTCTCAATTTTATCAAACACCTCACTATCCTCAGGCAGCTGCAGTTCAAAATTATATATAGAATAAAATGTATAAAAACGAACAATGCTCTCTCCAGATTCATGTTCATATCGGTGCCTTTATACAGAGGGCTGGAGAGAAATGAGACATTTGACACGCTAGCCAAGAAAGTAACCACCACACCACCTCACCCCTATTGGAAAATTCTGCCTCAAGACCAGAACGAATACTTTTCCAAAAACCAATGGAATACTTGTTTTCACAGCTGGCTGCAAGAAACAAGTGTCAAACATCCAAATCCTACCAGCATCATCAAATATTCCCAACATTACTTCTAAAGAACCACCAAACCTTGGTTTCATAATCTCCCGCTATCAAGGCTCTTCACTTAATGGATCTCCAGAGCACGATCGAGTCATTTCAACCTAAATAAATCACTACACAAAATCAGAGTTGTAAACAATCCTGCGTGCAATTGTGGATACCCTAAACACAATCTCAACACGTCGTCTGGCAATGCCCTCTTACGGTGTCATATGGAACTACTCCCATTCACAAACTACACTGTTTCGGTTGGCAATTTACCCATGCGTATTGAGTGCCTCCTATCCAAGCCACGTATAAAAGAACACACCATAATCACTAGATTCCTACGTGAAAACAATATCTTCATATAACATCTAGACAATCCACAATCATCCTAACTCTACGAAACCCGTCATTAGTACGTACCCCGTAGAATATTACAAGTTACCACATAGCGGTTAGACATAAGTAGCGCATAACCTAATCTGTATTACACTATTACGTTACCAATTTGCTATACCCACCAGATATATTCATGAGCAGTATGCTCAGTACTTTTTTAAATAAATACAATACAATACATAATTATTACTGTAATATGCATTATATGGTATGTACAGAACAGCGAGAATTATTTATTGTATTAGAAAGATTACATACTATACTGAAATGAAAAAAGAAATTTTCTACGGCGGATGATCGATGTTTTCTTTTTTAAGCTTAAAGCTAACTTAAAAGAAACTTAGTTTTATCTTAAACTATATACAAAGACGCTGTATATGTCGAAGAATTATCGATCTAAGAGAAAAAAATGACTGAATCAAGAAAGAAGTCCTTGATTCGAAAATGAAAGAAATCGGAGAAGAGTCTCTGATTAAAAAGGAGATAAATGAAGCTAAATAATAACTACTGGGCATACTGTAACATGCATCATATAATTTCACAGCTGATTCGCCTAGCATGATCCTCGATAGGAACTACTCTATCGACGACAATGCTAGTTTCCAGGTCTCACCACGTGGAGGTTGCTGCGAACGAGACCCAGGGAGGTGGATGGAAACTGAATTCCATCGACCTCTCTCTCTAATTCAAAATCTTATTATTATCGCACTTAGAACTATCGGATTAAATATTAATCCCTTAGCGGCTGTCTTCTTTCTTGAGTCTATACTGAAATCAATAAAGGAAAATGTCCCACGGCGGACGGTCGACGTCTTCTTTCGCAAACTTAATTCTAAATTAATGTAGTCCTAACTTTTATTTTATAATAAATAGCTTATACTAACATGTGCCGCAGTTACAGAACAGGAAGCAAAGAGGTTGAATTATGAAGTCCTTGATTTGAAAATGAGACAAATCAGGGAAGAAGTCTAATGAAACAACTTTTGAGAATGTTGTCTTCGATAAACCATGTAAGCTAAAACTGAAACTTTCGTTAAAATCGATAGTATTCTAAAAGCGGTATTAATCGATTGAAAATGTTTTCCTGATGAAAATAAGTCTAAACGCGCCATATATCGAATAATAACATAAATTACAGATTAGTAATGAAAAACTTTATGAAAAATAATATTTACAACTTTTATGGAATAATATTTCGGATCTTACCAGATATAAAAATAAATTGTCTAATAAACTAATTTTCCGTAGATCATATAATAATATTACATACATTTTCAGTAAGGATTCAATATTCATATTGAATTATAATTTGGAATTGAGTAAGTCTTTATACCTAATAAAAAAAATTGTATTTTAACTCAATATTATATTCAAGATTAAATATTTTAATCACGCAAAAATAATTTTGTAGAATATTGGGATATCGATTTAAATGTTAAATAATTAAAATAACAAAAGATTATTAAAGTATAATGTTTTTAGTCATCTATAAAACTAAGTAAATACTTACATATTTTAAGTCTGTGTACGATCTGACATATTTCACAAATTGAGCGTTCTATACGGATAGAGTTCGCTGATATAATAGAATATTTTTGACAGGGTCAGTATTTCAAAACTGTAAAACCATATGAAATATAATAAAAGGTTTCTATTTTACATATAAGTAAATATAAATTTTAGTGTGTACTAAAGACGAACCCCAGAACCCCAGACTAAACCTATACGATCACCATCGACGAGACACCTATCGGTGGCATCACTTTCATTTAAACTTATCTTTATTTTACTTTTTTATTTTTTCATTCATATTTGAAGAAATTTTTGAAAGCATTTTAAAGTCGAAAGTTTGTTTTAGTTATTTTTATAAAAAATTTTATTTCACAGATGTAAAATTATATTGTTTCAACGCAATTTTTACATGTAAGTTAAATAAATCCTTAATTTATTCTTACACTGAGTCTTATTATCACCAAGGAAAAAGCCATCAAAATTCATTGAGTATCAAGATTGTTTTTATAAAAATAAGAATTGTTAATGTATATTAAGGAAAAAAATAATAAATAATTAAGAATAAAATTAATTTTCATTAACATTAAATATTCCATACACTTTACATTAAAAGAATCAATTAAATCTTTACCATTGTTAGTGATTGCAATAAAAATTGAATGGTTCTTTATCTTGTTTAAAGCTATATGATAAAATTACATAACATCTGTAAGTACCTTCAATACATCTATTAGTTTTTTTTAACAAATACACGCATGAAAATAAAAAAGTAAATACTGACTTTAAAAAACATTTCCTTGCTGTAAATCAGAAAAGTAGGAAAAGAAGTTGTCTGGTACAATACAAGTTATAATTTTTGAATTACTGGAGGTTGTCTTATTCAAATGCATGCATTGGTAGGAATAATAAAAAGATCGGGATATGCACTTAAAAACTTTATTTTATTTTGGTTTGCTTCGTAATTGGGAAAATATATATAATGTTGCGTTTACCTGTAGGAACTTTGGACTACAGATTATATCTGGGACAATTGTCGTTTGGGTAACATACTAATTTAAAAAAAATGAGGAAGTGAACTTAAATCGTGTCAATACGTTACCAACGAACAAGTGAAAGAGATGAAGGGAAAAAGAAATAGCTTAAATCTACGCTAAGGCTAACGTTTCATTAATTCTAGATTTATACGTTGGTAACAAATATGGTATAAAATATGGTATTAGGTACGTATTTTACGTGCCTCTCTTGAATGAACGACAAAAATACATGAAGGTTGAGTGCTTGTGTGTATCTCGCACTGTGATCGTCGAATATGACGTCTTTTATCATAATGTGTACAGGTTTTGCTTAGAAAAAAAATAAAATAAAGAAACGAAACAAAGTGACGGTATTATAAAGACACTCAAGTAATCTATATCATAGATTATTTTCAGAATACACGGTTGACCATGAAATGAATCTTACGCATGGCACACAATTATTAATCAATTTTCATTTTTGTTTAAAATCTGATACTGAACAACCCTGCTAACATGTATAAAATTCTGTACAGCATTGCGAGATAATAGCTTTCTTCCTTCTTTACTTCTCTCGGAAATAGTTGATAATTTTCAACTAGCGTACGTTGTACACGATACATTAGTTAAAATGTAAAACAAAAAGTATCCGATACATGAAATTCTTGCGTATGCTTATATCCGACGCGAATTATAATTAAGAATTTCTTGAACAATTTATCCTTTGGAAGATACACATTAAATGCTTAATTTTAGCAGGGTTAATACTCTATTGATCTTGTTAAAGACTCCCGGTCGTTTGATACTGATATCGAATAAAAGCAACGTGCGGTGATTACAGTGAAGCAACGACCGTTTCAACTCGAACTCCGATCTTTTCCTCGTTGTACCGCTTGAAGTTCGACGCATTTTCTTCCGTTACTTATTGATCCAGTTTTATGAAATAAAACTTATTTCTTTACATGTTAAACACATCTGAGGATCCTTAAAAATATACACTGCTCTCTTAGCTTCATTCCTTTTGTTCTATCGTACTCAATACACGTTATATTCTTGGCCATTCTGTTTTGACTAGATTTATTCTCAGTTGGATAGGTATTTCACTCGATATCGCGAGTACGACGTTTTAGATCGATATATAGATCTTCTTTAGCCAGAACACACTTCTGAGTGTTCATCCCATGCAGCAACCTGAAACAAATGATTCAATTAATAATATTCAAAAAATCGGTGTAAATCAATTGTTTTGCAGGACAGATTAACGGAAATTGAAAAACCAAAAATCACTTAACAAAAATATACAATTTAGTAAATATGATTAATTTTTTATTACAATTTTTACCTGGCATTCACGACTGCAGTACCACTGATTTCCGCAGCCAGCGCAAACAAACTGTGCTGCACGTTCATGACACCCTTGGCATCGCGGAGGACTATCTCTGTCCTCTCTAGCATCCCTTCCACCCGAAGAGATGCGCGTTTCTCTGTCTTCAATTACTGCTGACTCTTCTTCTACATCATCCTAAAAATGAAAAGACAAACATATAAGCACGAAAATTATTATTTCATTTTATACGTGCTCGCTACTTTATGATAAAATTATTTTTCTATAGACTAAGTTATCTACATTTTTATCAATTATTAATATTATTTCCATGTTCAATTTTAGTTAAAAAGAAATAAACGATGAAGATAATATGAAGAAATATTTGCTGCGCAATGTTTGTCCCGTTAATTGATTATTCATAAAATTTCTTTCAAATATCTTTTTCTTACATCACATTTCTCAAACAAAAAAATAAACTAATAATTTAAAAGATATTTTCAATAAATTTATGTCATATGAGAAATTCTTTGATGTGCGAGATGTTTTCTAACATATAAGTCCGCGTTTCTTCAAGATAAAAACAATAGCGAATATGTTAAATTTATTAGCAAATTGTAACATTTCTCTTACCACGTGGATTAAATTATTTGAGTGTGATTGTACCGGGGTATTAACGACAGGTGTTATGGTTATTTCAGTTCGAGCCTGGAAATAAAAATAATAAAAGTTGATGATGCCGAAACTTTCTCCAATTTATAATATAAATAATCTATGTTTTATGGAATTGCAACGCACCTTGGAAGAAGACAGAAGGTCGCTGATAGAAACCGGATTAGAACCTTGATATGCCTGCAAAAGGTGCTGGGTTGCCGCACTTTGCTGTGGCATGGACGCGGCTGTTGATGCATTCCTTTCTCTTTCAGGTGCGGTGAGTAATCTAGCTAAAGTAGGTGAAAAAGTTGTAGGTCTTGGAGATTGTGATTTTGTGAGAATTCCATGGAGCAAGGAACAGCTCTGTTGAGGCGGTGTGTTTTGAGGTGCTGGAGACGGCGCCACGGGGTGAAGCGTTACATCTGGATAATTTTGAGGTGTTTTCACAGGTTCACCTGTGAATCATTTAAAATATTCAAAATCAAAATAATATCATTAAAAGTAAAATTTAGTTTATGTTCATCATCTACAATTTCAATTAGATTTGAGAGTTATTTACTCATTCATTCTTTATAAATTCTACTTTGCCATTTACTTATGATTTTGTACAAGAAAGGAAGGATGACGTTCGAAATATATTTTAACAATAATGTTTATGTACCTTGTTGTTGGCTCAATTTAGCGAATTGTACAAGAACATCCTTAAAGCTCATGGAATTGTTAGGGTCCGACATGTTTGGATTGCTTTTGCAAGAGTCCGTACTAGATGGCCTTGAGTCAACATTGTGTCCCGTTTCTACCATAGCCCCACCTGCGCCGAGGCCAACGTTCACCGAATTTCTCATTCTGCGACCCCTGTTGTAACATAAATACATATATTGTTCTAAAATATCTTTTATACAATAACATGAACGTTCATTTACGAATTGCAAACGCTATGTACTTGAATCAAACATACTATGGATTAACAGTGAATACGAAAAACAAATACTGACAAATGCGTAAGGAAATGGGATACTATTAAAATAAACAGTCAAACTCAATTTAATGAAAAAACAAATAAAAAGTTAAGAGAGTATTTTATGAAACTATGATAGAACCAAATCGTGTGTTTATTCGGTTGCAAACACAAGAGTGATTGCTCCTAAGGTTGAAATCGTATCAAATAAAACTCATGCCCCTCCTTAATTAATCAATTACGAATAATTAATAATCATTTAAAGAATGTACCTTCGTGGTACTATCTCAGGATGCCTCAGCCTGTAATCAGCGATGATAGATCTAACATCAACGATAGATCCTTGACGGCCCTCACCGATCTGCCTGTTTTCTGGGCTGAGCGCCTCAGCCTGTTTCCGACCATTTTCTCCACCTTGTTTCGGGGGCGTCGATTGTCGCTGGGACGCTTGTTTCCCGGTTTTCTCTTTTTTGAAAGCCGGCGAATCCCGAGAGCTTTCCTCGGGCAAATCCTCTTTCGAGCCGAAGTTCAGCTTTTCTTTGGATACGGGTGTCGTATTCCCGCTGCTCTCCCATTCCGGGCCGAGCGATAAGCTGGCTGGGGGTAACGTGTCCGCTAACTGTCCGTTGCCCTCCATAAATCCCATCACTTGCCGCCTTCTTTCGATTCTCAGGTACGCCTCCTCCTTCAGTTTCCTCATGCTCAGAATTTCGTTCCATTCCATTTCTTTGGCACGTGCTAACTCGTCCAAGGCCTATGCGGAACAAAAAAGAAAAGGTATTTTAATTGTATTTCAAACAGATAGACAAGCAGCCCAGATATTTGCACCGAACCATACAACAGCAAATAACTGTTTATTACTTGCTGGTACTGAGCCGTTAAACATTAGAGTGGTCTAAGTGTAAGTCACGAAATTTGTTGTTCGTGATGATATCCGAATCAAAATTTCCGCATAGGAATATACCTCTTGATAAAATTTGAAAATATCTGTTTTATCTGTTTGACATGTAGATGTTTTTGATTTTGAATTTCCAATTGAGGCCTTTTTAAAAGAAATGTTTTAACTATAAATTAATGTGATTTGACAGGATCCATGTGGAGTAAAATCATTATATGTTTCAAGAAATCAATTATGGGATAAATACTTGACACCTAAGCATGTTGTACCCTTTAAAAAATCACAATAAGTAAATGATAATAATTTAATCATTTGATGAAGTGTAGACTTATATGAAAACGAATTTTATGCATTTATGACGAATATGACTCCATAGAATATAAAACAAAAAAATGTTAGTAAGAATTTAAAAATACCATTATTTGATTTTTAACTTATTATTATTCTTAATACTTCTCAATCGACCGATGCTTAAATGAGAGAATTTTCGTTGCAATATTTTGCAAGATTGCAAAAAGAAAAGACGAACTATGAATTTTGCTATAACTTTCGTGTTTATCAGTATTTTTTAATGATATTTAATATGATTATTATCGTTCCACGATACTTACTACTGTCTAATAAATAAATTTATAAAGAAACCGATAATTGTTATGATTAATAACTTATAAATGACTGCAATCCACAACCAAGCCTAAACGAGTATTAACATTTACGCAACCGTCTAAAAAAACTATAACTATAATCTTTCTTATTAACTTTAATTGAACTCACTCAACAAATTTGATTAAAAGTTGTATTTCAAAAAAGCAAGCACGGTATTCATTGAATTGTAAGTACTCCCAGTTCAAGACTTACTAAATAACAGAAGAAAAAAAGAAACATAATAATTTGAAATGCGTTACTAAAGGAAAAGTGGGAGATCTCCCCATTTGGTTGGCTAATAAAGGAACCTTTTCAACCAGCACACGCCGATTTTGATAAAACTTATGTAAGACATAGTTCTCAAGAAAATATTTGATACGTATTTTTATTATCGGTCAACATTTACTTTGTACGAGTGAAAACACTCCTCAAAGTTAAGGATTGAAAGTATATTTTTTACAATACCACTGAAACTAGAGGTGTAGAAAAGAAATCTAAATTGTTAATTTCTTTTCTACACCCTCTAGTTGTAGAAGTATTGTAAAAAATATACTTTCAACCCTCAACTTTGACGAGCGTTTTAGCCTGTTCAAAGTGGATGTTGTCCAATAAAAAAAATACGTTTCAAATATTTTCTGAAGTACTATATCTCACATAAGTTTCATTAAAATCGGCGTGTGCTGGTTGATAAGGTTTCCATGTAAGTATTAATATCCGCCAAGCCATTTACGTAGATTTTTTAACACATTCCGTGCCACTGGAAATTTCGGTTGTATCTGGTTTACAAAGTGTACTAATTTTTTTTTAAATAAAATATTAAGTTACGTTCAAGTTTTTGGCGATTCTTATATATTTTGATATTATTTCTTTATATTTTCGCCGCTTCGCGACGTGTATCGCTATTCTTTGCCACATCTCTCACAATAAATGTTTCTGTACAAAAATTACGCGTGTACCACAAATGATACACGTGGTACGGAACGTGTTAAACAGGTATTTTCATGCGACCAGCCGAGTAAGTGTTAAAAGAAGAAATTGCTTTCTACTCAGCCTTCGTTTCTTCGTACCACTTCAGAAAATTCACGTAAAAATTCGTCTAGCAGTGAACGTCGTAGCACTCATATGTAAGTCTCACTCGACATTACACAGCAAGGGGTCAAGGGCCATCAACTTAAAATCCCTATTTACCTGTACTTCGGCGCGAAGTTGATCAGCCCTCGCAGCAAGCTCTTCCGCGGTAACTTTCTCACAGCCGACCAGGGACGATATATACTGTTCCCTTTGCTCGAGGCAGAACTTCTTAGGAGCTGGGTTGCCGTTTGAGGACAACTGTCCATCGGTGGACTTCCGTTTTCTGCCGCTTCCTTCTGTTTCGGATTTCGCGCATCGGGACGCGATCGGCTTCTGTTGTGCCCCGTCCACCGCCGACAGGGTCGTCTTGGTCGTCGTCTCCGACTCCGAATCACAGAGAGGTTCCTTTTTTATAGAGGTCGAGCGGAGGCACTCGACGGTCGCTGGCACTGCCGCTGTTTCTTCCGGCAGGGCGGCGCCATTTTGCTGGCTCTGAGGAACTTTCGGCGAGGCCCTCAACGAGTCGTCCTCCCTGGTCTTCTCGGCCGAGTCCACCTTCTTCCCGTTCCCGGCAGCACCTTCCATCGCGTGCATCTTGTTCAAACTGCAAGCAAACAACAAATATTTCTGCCGTGAGTAAGCGCTTCCTGTGCCCTTCGGGTTAGCTGCCATGCCGCCGGCCTTGATCTACTCTCTTGAGCGACTCCATATTGCAAAATGTCAACGGTACTAACGAGAAAAAGTAACCGACAATTATGATTAAAAGTTGCTTAGAGTGAGCCTACGGCGGGTGGTACGTCATTGATAACGCGGGGGATACTTTCGCGTTTTTGCGCGATTCTGCCGACGCAGCTAATTAAGCTCTCGGGTCGCTTAACGAGGCTTGTTTTATTGTTTCGATCGCGATCAGTAGTTTGTGAGTTCTTGTGTACCATTTGACAATATATTTCTCTAAATTGTACTTCGATGTTAGCGGAATATTTATAATCAATGTAATTGCTATTGGTTTGTGTTTCCGTGTTGCAGGAAACGAATGGTCCAATAATGGAACTAATCACAATGGAATGATAAGACGAATAAACAGTGTACATGTTTATATATTAATCCACATTTGTAAGATGCAATTAGTTTAAGTATTCAACTAACATCAAAGTTATATGGTATTACTTAGTGATTTAGTTTATCCGTATTTCACAATTTTAATGTTATGATTTTTATAAAAGAAGATAGGAAGCCTAGAAGTAATCGAAGACACGATTATAGGAGGCAGAGCTTTTGGTTGCCGTCAGAGATAAACAGATAAAGTTTTATCTTCAAATTGATGAATGATTTGACTAGCTGCAATATACCAGGTTGGAAGCTTCTGCCATACAGGAAGCTTTTTTGGCTAAGAAACTTACAAAAAAGCGTCCAATCATCGAACACTGAAATCTTGTGTCACGCAAGTGTCTATTCTATAGAAACTGCTCAACAAGTGTCATTTTTTAAACGTATAGATATAAAGATATGAATATTATATAAATAATTTGTCTCGAAACTTTTTAAATAGAATGGTAAATAAAGCAATGGTTCATAATCAGTGTTTTGAAAAGCTATTACGAGTATTACGAATATAATATCATTTTTTAGACATTTCCTGTTTTTACTGTCACATAATTAAGTATACACATGCATATTTTTATAATTATCTTTATCACTTTCACCATTTTGATATTCTGCAAATTTTCTTTATAAGTCAATGTGGTTTCCTATTACTTCAAGAAAGTAAAGGACTACTGGAGTAGAGAGAGGCAAGATCTAACTGGAGGAGAGGGCAAACGAGAAACAGTCATCGAGTCTTTCACCCTCCTACGTCTTCAACTTTATCTGCATATGGCCTGACAACGAAGTGTCGGCGACACGTTGGCAACAATGTAATGCGTTTCTGTAGTCACATACTCGGGGCTGGTAATGTGATTATAGAGAGTAATAGACGTGATTTCATTGGCAATTTGTTTCTATCTTCCCAATGATGACGAGAAGGAGGCGTATTGATCAATGAAGATCTATATGCCTTGTGGATCTTCATGTCTCTTCATATTTTGACAGAGCAATTTGTGGAAACTCTAATTATCGAAAACTTACTTTCTTTAAGAAGAGTTTAATTGATTGGAAAGTAACATGAAAAGTTTATGTACAATTTTTGTGGTATTTATATTATACAAAATACAAATACTTGTGAACGAAAGGAATGACTTAAATGACGATGACCGAAAGATATTATTGTGTTTCATTTATTTTCCAGCTTCCTACTGACATTTGAATATGGCAAAATCACTGAACACAGTGCATGATGTAAATTGTGAATAATATTAACCTCATCGCTTAAGAACAAAAAGATTTATCATTTTTTACTCAGGATGAAATTTTTATTGTAACAATACCTTTAAGAACAGATTAAATTTATGTTAAATTTAGTAATATTTTAATTAGCACTTTTAGAATTGTATTCAATTTTTAAATATACCACGTTTTATACATTTTTATACGTGATTCTTAAAATTTTTCAATTAATTTTTTTTTAATTTAGAGAAGAAGGAAATTCAATTGAATAGTAAAAAATTAAGTATACTTTTAATACGGCCTATAATTGTAATATAAAGTATAAAATATTAAAATGCTATATACAAAGTACTAAGAAATATTATTCTGTCACCAACTTAGAATATAGGATTGCAAGTACTAATAAACGAATGGTTAAATTAATAAAAGGAAGACAAGAACAAAAAGATGTGCATTTCAACTTCGTTTTCAAGTTATTAAAGGTTGAAAATATTTTTGAACTATGACCGTACGCCAACAATGAAGCACATGAGGTAGGTCAGTACAAGCACGGATACTGGTGTACAGTACGACACACAACGACAGTGACCTAACTCACACGCAGCATTTAGTGGACTTTAATCGTTAATAACTCGAGAATCAGCCTGAAACTGCAATTCCATTACGCTCGATGTTCATCTTACGTTTTCGTGAAAAGTCACCCTTTAAATTCCCTTCCACCTGTTGCCGAATATCCTATATCTCAATAGTAATGGTTTATAATTCAAGTAGCAGTATTCATCACTAAATTACTCACTTATAATTAGGCATGTTAATTATACTCTCGTTTCTGTAATCGCTACAGACTGTTATTTACATATTTGAACATAATGTAGATCGTTGTATTGTACATATTTATAATATGTAGTATTCAATATAATTTATTAACACTAGAACTACCAAGTATTGAGTATGATTGATGTATGAATTTGACATTTTTGTGATATCAATAATTGTAAAATAAGGAAACTGAAATTAGTCCATTTGACTGGTACCGTAGTTCTAGTGTTAATATAATCGATGACAATTGTATAAGCCTTATGTGACAAGATTACTGAAGCCCGACAAGCATCTGAACGTTTAACGTTACAAATCCGTGAAATTGAGAGATATGATGTTGCATACCGTTTAATGGGAAATTGATTATGAAGCGTTTTCTTCTATCGATGACATTGATAGAACGATAAGTTCCTCCGACCTCGCACAGAAAATAAATATCATCGACGTGAAGGACGCTCAATAGAAACTGCCTGATATATGCCCACATTATCATTTTCATGACGTTGTGTACACAAATGTTTCTATCACAAGTTGTACGAATGGACTACATGATTAGAGACATTGCATAAAGGACTTTGAATTCGTGCAACGAAGTCATCTTCGCTTTCATACTACAAGGTAACTTCGATCTAATTACATACGTATTAACGTATTCGCGGTCGCATATAATTTCCGAAAGTTTGCGGCTAAATACCGTAAGGGTCTGCTATTCATATGTATACGAATATATAAAATATATGGTACAACTGTGTTGTCGAACTTAATTGCAGATTTTGTAATGACGTAGACTTTTGCAAGCGATATTTTTCTTAACGTTAAAACTACCGAACAGTTAAATTGACTTTTTGAAATTTCTCTGTAGAAACTCTAAGAGTGCATCTATAGAGACTTCAATTGATTTACAATTCAATTTACGCATTGTTAAATCAATTTCTTTAATAATTTCTCAGAAAAATATTTATTATCTTCTTAGTAATTTCAAAAAGAAGACATCAGGAATGGGTCACGTTGACCCATCTGATAAGTATAATGTTAACACTAGGTTTATAGAGAGCGCCAAACTGACGCATATTGAATTTTATGAACATTATTTAATAAACGCTTATGTGTATGTATGTATCCTAATAGACTATTTTGAAATACCTAATTTCCAAGATCTAAACGAACGAAAATCATAGAATAAAAATACGTAAACCTAGTGTTAAAAATGTAAAATAACGTATAACTATGTTACCGACATTCTTCTAAAAAAATTAAAAATAGCGTAGGGCTACGTTACCGGTATTCAGCTAAAGAATTCAACATTAGAACTACTGCACCTTTCAAAGTGAATGATTTCACTTTTTAAAAGTATTAAATATCCGAAATGATTTTGAAAATTGTTTCACTTGAGTACTATAATGAATATATGATGAAACTTAATATTAATCGTATTAAATACTAAGTAATTTTTAGTGTTGAAATGACGTAGGTCATTATATGTAACCGGTCTCAATATATTAACACATCTTCGTCACAGGCAAAACTTGATCTAAGTTACAAGAGTAATAATCGAAAACACTATATTGAGCAAAAACTTTTATCATCTGATAAATCACTAGATCTTCTGTAACACTAAATTTATTTAATGGAACTTTATTTGATGTACTCACCGTGAATTTAAGTGTAATTTAGTTAAATTTTTATAAGCTATTTATAAATTTTACATATGTTTATGAAATATGTTATATGTTTATAGAATAATTATTCTAAAATAATGAAATAAGATAACCATATCCAGAATTAAAATATACACTTCGACAAAAATAATTGTACCCATCCCGTTTATAATCGCCAATCTAGCAAAAGAGTGAAATTATTCGTCTCAACAATATTGTGTTAATTGATTTGAGATTAATTCTTGTCAAATAAAAATAAATTGAAAATATCAATATTACCTAATATACTTACAGATTATTACTATGTAATGAACATATATTATCCATTAAAATTTTTAAATCTCTTATTAATTTTTCCATTGTTCACTAGTGATTTTCTTATTTTGAAAATAATTAAAAGAATTATTTAATTCTGTTTATTTGACCAGAAACTTCCATGACTCTTAACAAATTTATTATAAACTTATTCATTGATTTATAAAATTATTCCTAATTTATTTAAAATTATTAATGAACACGCTTCAAAAATACATATTCTATCGTAAAAAACAATCTGTTTATACTTTTTTGGAGCTCTGGTTCACATATTGCTTATTGTTTACATTCGTCACCTTACCATGTAGTTTGAATCAGACAATTGCGAAAGGCAGACGTATAATTCTAAGTTTACGTACAAAACTCACGCAGAAAGTAAGTTGACACATATCTTTACTAGTATTCTCTTATAAAATATTTATACAATAAGTGATAATTTACAATTTACTTGTCGAATTACCTATATGGAGCAGTTTTCTGCACAGTGTGTTGTATTCGTATGTAAAATACTGTTTTTTAGTGCCGAAAATACGAAAACTCACTCCTGCAGAAAGATCAGTAATATGTAACAGAAGAATGTAAGGAGATTCTTTGAGGAAGATTGTAGTGAGGTTTAATATTTCCGCGGAAGGTGTTAGGAAGATCATAAATAGATTAGAAAAAAATGGAACTGCAGAAAGTCCGCCAAAATCTGGAAATTCACGAAAAACAACACCCAGACAAAATAGTATTACTTTACGAGAAGTTTGTAAAAACCGTTTCATTTCGACCAAACAATTAAACTCTGATTTCAATTTACCGATTCAGGAAACTCAAATTTGAAGACAAATAAAAGAAGTAAAATTGCACAGGTGAATATCGAGAAACGACCTTGCATAAATAAAACCAATGCTCGAAAACGTTTAATATCCGCAAAACAGTTTATAAACAAGCCATTGGATTTTTAGAAAAATATTATATTTAGTGATAACTCAAAATTTTAACTTCGTTTCCATGATAGAAGGAAATATGTATGGAGAAAACATGGCGAATACTTTAAACCTACCACAATAATACCTACAGTTAAACACGGTGAAGACTTGCTATATGTTTGGGGTTGTTTCCCCTCAAGCGCCGTTGGCAATTCGCATTTTATAGATGGCATATTGACAAGTTGTGGGTATATAAATATTTTATAATAAAATTTGCAAGAATCGATAATAAAAATATCTGAAAAAAGCCTTGATCTAAACTCAATCGAGTACTTGTGAAATCACTTAGATAGAATAATAATGAAACTTGCAGTAACAATAAAGCGGCATTCAAGACAGTACTATAGCAAGTTTGATCTAATATTAACCAAAATACCATAAATAAACTTATCGAAAGTATACCAAAAAGCCTTTAACAAGTTATTAAAAATAGGGGATTTACACCTTAATATTAATTATGTATTTTCTATTATTTAATTTATTGTTAATTGTATTTTCTCATTGCTGTCAACATACTCTTCGCAAACAAATAAAAAGAATAGTTTAATTTTGTCTATAATTGTTATATATCTTGTTTTAACTGTAACGTTAAATATGTTAAAAAATATATAAAGTTTACTTATCCGATTATTTCTAGATCTTTATTTAAAAAAGAAAATATCCATCTTTCAGGTATGTCAACATACTTTCCGTGGCGACTGTATCACTGATGGAGGTCGATAACGAGGATCTCACGTAGGATCCATCAAAACAGTTCACGTTGGTAAATACTCGGACACTTGTTACTGTTAACAACACAGAGCGGATTAAGCTGAAGCAAGCGACAATGTTTTGCTCGATCAAAAATCAGAGATAATAAGCTTGATCTACAATACTATCCGACAATAATGGTCTTTAAGTATATGGTTACGCGTTTTAGTAAATATGTAACAATAAAAATTTGAATAATTATATAATATTTAATTATAGTATAACGGCAATTTTGATTTTACTGGAACACGGAATTAACCAAGATTGAATTTGTATGTGATAAATGTACAAACAAAATACAACGTTATGATCTTCCAACTCAATATGACGTAAACAAAACCATTATGCATTAATGTTCTCTTTTTTATTGGTTTTCAAACAAATTGTATAAAATTGCAAACTACACTGTGTTAGTGGATTTCAAAATAAAATTAAATTTGAGCCTGCTATAAAGTATCATGGAAAATATATGTTATTATATTAAATTGATAATATAATCTTCATTAAATAGAACTAAAAGTAATTTAAACTATGTTTCTTTGAAAAAAAAGTGAATAAACATGTGTTAGCACACAAGTTATCGGTTGGTAACTGTTGATAATATAAAAACGGAAGTGATGTCATCAATATTATTAAAATTAACTGGTAGATCTTCTTATTATCAATGCACTCTTACTACTGCTACTGCTGCTACTAATACTAATATATAACATGTTAATGCAAATGAATAAGATAAACGAGCAAATGTTAATGTACACTAACGAAATACAGTAAAATTTAATTTCATAAAGTTTTTACTGGCAACCTTATCATTTTTCTCAATAAAACGTATTTGTTAAAAATTAATAGAGAACTTTTAAAAAACTAAAAATTCAGAATTAAAAAACCAACTGCATTTATGAAACGGAATTAAAGATGAAACAACTGTAGAAGACAATTCGTTACAGAATATCTTTAAAGAAAATATTCAAGATCTTATGAAACACACAATATAAACAACAGTTTTAATTATCTTTCTTGATTAACTAATTAGCATATTTATTGTTATGCATAACAATCTTCCACAAGAAAATAATTTCACTACTATTATTCTAAAAATAACTAAGAGTCGCGCGCGGTAAAGTAGCTAAAATTGAATAATGAATGTAAATAATAATACTTCGTTATCTTATTTTCCATTTTTTTTCATAAATAATAATATTATTAATATAAACTTTAGTACATTTTCGATGTTTCAAATTTTTGTGTAACCCGTTACATCCTTATGTTAATCAATTATGTTTACATTCGAAGTACTTAATTGTTCAGAAATGTGTAACATAAAATGATTAAAAATTAGACAAAAAAGAATACTATGCAACTTGCATTAAATCAAATATTATTCAATGATGTCACGAATTTCAACTTAAATTCAATGAAATTTACAAAATATTAATTATTATATCAATTGACTAAGCTCTATTAAAGCAGAGTTATAGTTATAATTTAGGCAATAAATATTTTTATTAAATTGTTCAACGATACGTTGTGTAAGATCTTCTCCATCAGTAAATAAACATGTTTCGATTCTTATTTGAGGACGACTTTCATAGTAGAATAGAAAATTGTAAACAAATATCTTCATTTTTTAAATGACAAAAGATTAGTACATAATTCCTTTCTTTTACAGTATTTAAAAGTCAAATGTATGATAATAATTTGTTATGATGATGATAGAATATTTCTAGTTATGATTTAACACTACACGTACGGGCACTCTATACGCACCAATTCCTAGCGTAACCAGTTAAACAACTGGTCATAAAATAAAGGTAAACAAATTAAACGATACATTTTTCTTAGTGAAAACAAGTAGAAGGAAAGGCAGGAATGATAAAACTGATTAATTAGACAATATAAGAACTGATATGAAGATAAATTGGCCAAAGAAAATGCTGAATTTTTAAAGAAAATTGAAAACCGGTCATTTGACCGGTCGCGATACGTTTAGTGTTAAATCGATTGCAAATAAAAGCAAGGGTACTCCGGCGATGAGGATGACCCGGGGTGGTCCTTGCAACACGTGCGCTCCCGTTCAACGTTTACCCTCAGCAAGAGGTACTCTTAGCACACGCACTAGAATAGAAGGTGACCACGCGGTGGGGTTAACGCTTTCGCCACAAGGACCTTCGCAAAGACGAAACTCCAGTCCTTTCCTGTAATCAGTTTCCAATCTACATATTCCTTTACAAAGTTTTTAAAAGTTAACCTACTAGTTCTACCAGTTTTATAAAAATCACGATGTTAACAATTTCAGACAGAAGAACTAGATCGTATGATTTTTCGTAATTTGTATAAATAACTTTAATAAAACGGAAACGTGCGTATCAGTGTTGAAGTTGAAATTAAAGTGAAACGGCAAAGTTTGATAGCTTTAATATATTGTTTAACGAACTGGAATATTTATGAGATGAAAATGATATTTATAAAGTATAACATATTTAATAAGTATAACAATAATGTAATAGCAATATTATTATGTATATGATACAATGTAACAAAAGCAATATTTCAAGTAAAATGAAATTTATGATAGTTTCATGTTTATAGAGGGATGGTAAACTGGTTCAATCGAAATTTTTGAACATGAAAATCTGAAGAGATTTTGTTCTTTTATAATGATGCATTCAAAGTTTTAAATACTTTGCACATAATTTCCCATTTTTCTTTTGTTCGGTAATCAGATGCAAAACTTAGATGCAAAGAACCCGTAACGTTATTTGTACTTAAATTACAAGGTTCCCTAATTTGAGGACATTGATATCAAAAGATCCGGTAGAAGTTTCGTTTATGCAAGGTTACTTTGCCCTTTAGCGCCTATCAAGCATTCTACCCACTTCAAGGAAAATGTTCCCCAAATTATAACTGTACACTGTCAGAAATTTGTTATTTGCAAAATTGATTCTTCTAAATACTTAGTGAATTCCTTCTATCTTAAATCTTTGCGACGTTTCTTGTTCTCTATGCCTACTCCTCCTTCGTTGTAACCTTTAAAGGTCTCGCGAAGCGACCTCGCGACATTCGGGTCATCGATTTATCGTAAATTTTCGTGTAGGTCACCTAACTCTGCAACCTTAAATATAGGAACAGAAAAGTTACTAGTACTTTAATCATATATAATTTAAAACAGGTAACATATGTATAATATAGGTACGTTTTTATATGCTCTGACGATCAGTTGTTACAAAATAATTACATTAAACCTGCAGCTTGTTTGGCTGCATTTATTTAATTAATAATTTGGAGACAATAAATGGCTCTTTTTAAATAATAATTCAAGACTACACGTTAACATAAGAGCACTTGTTATATAAGGTAATTACAAAAGATTTATGAAACATTTTCATAAATCAATACTTTTTTATTAGAATTTCTCCGTCTGAATCAGCTAAATCCTTTTCCTTTCACTTTTTCTTAGAAACCTACACGACGATTACGAAAATTATTTTAGGACATTCAGGGGCTGTGAAATTTCATAAAAAGAAAAATTAAACTGCTACTTGAGAAGTACTAAACCAGGCTGGTATTTCACAGTTTCTAGAAAGGAATCATAAAATTCATTCCTGTTTACCAACATCTACAGGAATTTAAATGGCTTGAGTTGTAGATGTGACGAATGTCTTCGTCAATAACATTAGCACACGGCAAAATGTATATTATTGGATAGCAAATTATATTTTACTTAATTTTTCTTCAATTTCATAATTGCGGGGCAATTACAGAAACATTTATAATAAGATGGATATCAATAATATATGATATACACTCGTACATATTAATTAAGTGTCAAAAATAAATGATTAAACGTCTAACTGTGATATTTTTCAAAAATAAAATACTATTTTATTCGTTTAAATATTTATAAATGTTTTGAAAAATTCGTTCGCAAAAAAAATCATTGCAAACAAAACAAAAATAATTAATTAACTTAATGTCCTTAGTATTTTCAATGTACTTTCTTAGAGTATCAATACCCGTTTACACGATGATACAACACGACATTTCCGTATGATTACTTCCAGTTCCTTGCGTCGATAACAAAAAAGAAATAAATAAATAAAACAATGTCGAATTGATGCAGCAGGTTGCCACGAGTGAAATCACGTGAAATCGTATACTCGCAATTATTAAAAATGTCGGCATTAAAGTCGGAATTGGCTTGGCCAAATGAAATGTAAACAGAAGCGAAAGCGGACGAGTGGTGCGCGCGCGCGCTTTCGCCAAAGCGGCCGAAATTTGCGGCTACGCCTGTTTGCCTCGTTTGCCACGAGACGCGACGATGCGAACGCGCTCGTCCGCAAGAAGGGAACATAGTTGAGCTCGGTGGGGGAAATTGCGCGCGCGAGAGGGAGGCCGCGTTGGAGAGAGAGAACAAAGGAGAGGGGAGAACGCAAGTTCGTTGCACCCGCTCGCGTTCACTGCACTTTATAGACGCGGATATAGGTTTCGCGGTACCAATTCTAAAAAGCCCTCGGAACTCTTCTCCGCGCCTTCGAATCTTTTGATACGAATAAAAGGATTCTTACGAATGGTAACTCCTTCTAATTTGTTCTCGCAATGTTTTTATTTGACTTTTCGTTCATAGAAAGATGGATATTAAGTAGAATATTTAATTTTTTTCTCCATAGGTTGAGAATATAATAAAAATCGCATAATTTTTTATTGTTTAATAATTTAATAAATATAGCTTGGCTATACACATAAAATATTTTTACAATTTTGATAACATTTTGAGAAATTGAAAAGAATTTCTTGGTTATAGAAAAATTAATTACATATGAAGTAATAAAACATTTTCTGATTCGAAAATTGAAATAGCCTTGTTCAACTAATAATACTTAATTTTCTTCATTTTAATGTGTTCTCTGTTAAACTAAAGTAAATGAGAAAGAATATGAAAATTAAAATTTTTTTTAAGTAAGCATGTTTTAATATTGTGATTTACGCTCCCATTCAAATAAAGATGCAAATACAGATACGAAAACTCAGTCCATGTTGTATGACCATTTTATTGTTTACATCTTCGTGTATTTTCTACAATGAAATGAAAAAAGTATATACTGAATTTCAATTTCAGTATTCAATAATTCGCTCATAACTAAATGTTTATTTCGACAACATTTGGTCAAAAAATGTCAGATACATTTAATTTTTTTAAATTACCATTGAACACCATTTATAGGTACGACAGATGCTGTCTACCATGACTGGTGCTACTGTTTACTTCTTATTTTACTTTCACTATTTAATTACTCGTAACGAAATAAAATTCAATGAAGGCTAAAAGCTCCGATAAATATGTATATTTTATCGATAATCCGTTGAAACACTAAACCGAAATATACGACTAGCCATGACAGAAATGAGTACACTTTATATTACCGTACTCATGATATCTATTATTCAACAGAGTTGCCAACGTTGGAAATCTTTCTCGGTATGTAATTTTACGACTATTGAGTGTGCGTCAAAACTTGGCTATGGAAGTACGTTACACTACACGTGATGTCGACAATGCTATACAGCAGAGTAAAGTATCCGTATTTCACCGGGGTATTGTACCTTTCACGCTTTCCATGGACCGCATGAAATAGTAACAGAGCGTACCAACTATTTAACTGTAGCGATAGCGAAAGCGAAGGAGAAAGCGAAACCGGCTGGTAAACGGTAACTGAAATCTCTCGGAAGAGCAAACACGCGTGAAACAGAAAGAAAAAGAAGTAATTCCATAGCTAGAAATTGAATATCGAAAATCCGATTATGAATTCGATGCGTCGAGGCACACATTCAATCTAGCGGTACATGTTGTAGGGTGGATGTCTTTCCTCCCCTTCATTCATACCGAACGGACAAAACGGTTGTTGCGAGTGAAGTTAACCAATTCACGCGAGAAGCATCCGACATGCAAGTTTTCGGAAAGGTCAACGAATATCATTTTTCACTCAAGATCGAATACGCAGGCAACGTACATACTACATAGTTGCTGAGGTTGCAGGAATGGTAAATTAGGCGACGCTTCACACGACGAAATCGTAGCACGCGACGTGAAGTAACGTCTGAATTTTCTTTAAATAACCCCACGCCATCAACATTTTCCGCGA